TCAACAATCAAGGCAAGGCAGATCGATTAGCACCTCGCTTGTCGAAATTGGCTCAATAGCTTTTGCTCTGGGATAGCCAGTGGACTTTTTTCCATCCTACTTTCTTTCGAAATGAACATTTACGGGCTTTGGCGGGAACTTGCTTACGTCATGCATTAAGATCTGTTCATTACTGTACTCGCGTTGGCTCTGCATGTCTACCGACAATGAGTCTTTCTCATTTGCTCTAATTCACCCATAAGATTATTACATTCACCTGACCTTCCATTGTCCGTCAGAACGACCCAGAGTGAATGGGCATAATGTACTTGTTAATCGCATTACGTGCATTTATTTGTATTTTAGGGGCCTCGCCATTCTGTACTGATGGTGAAAAGGGTCAATTGCGCATGTTCCCTCGAGGTGGAATTTCCTGGATGTGAAATTCCGGAAAAGCATTTAAAAAAAAAAAGCAAAAAAAAAACCGGGAGATGCTACATCATGGTATTGGGTTCAAGCATACACATTTCCTGTTCTGCACGCCTGAAGGCATGGAGTCTGTATAGCGCCAGAAAATAAAACGTTTTTTATCAGTGATATCAATGGCAGATTTTGAGAACGTGCCGCATAATACACCTGCAAGAGATTCTATCTCCTTGTAACACGTGTTGGCTTCTGTAGCAAATCGACTTCGCCATCAATCTGCGATGCCGCTGACACGCCGCTGTGATCCCAAATCACTCTTAAGCGAGCTCTCAGTCCTTCCAAACCGGTCTCAACCGTGGGGTCTGCCTGGGGATTTATTAGTTTCCATTTTTCATTCCGGAGGCTCCAGACATTTGTCTCAGATTTTTTTTTCCTCGAGACCCGTTCGATCCAGTGAATTGTTTTACGTATTCCTGCATTGCCCGGATTGTATCTCATGCCTGATGAGGTTTCTCCTAGAGTTAATGTCAGAGGGGGACTACTTGCCTCTCGATTACCAAAACAACGATGAGAGACTATTGAATTTTTTTTTCTGCTGGGATCCCTCGACATGCTCTGCGAGACGAAAAGAAATCCATTCCGGGGTCCTGCTGCCTGGTACTTTCTGATTCTGATAAAACAATACACTGATTTAGGGATGGGACGGTCAATTGACCGGTATTGACCGCTTTTTTTATTCAATGGATTAATAAATTTTTTATTATTGAGCTCTTAATTTCGGTCTCCAGCACCTTAACCAGAACCAGTTCCATTTTAAAATTATGTTCATGCAGCCCGCCAAACATCTGGACTGTAGCACCCATTGGATATGAAAATATTATAGTTAATGCTCAAACTACCATGACCTCTCACCTGAGTGGGGTAGAGTGTGTGTACAGGCATCGCCAGCTGTTCAAGGTCTTTTAGCCTTAATATCTAAGTTACAGCTTTAGAACAGCTTTTAGTTTAATGCAAGATCTATCATGTTCATGTCTGCATCGGAGCATCAAATTATTCTCTGAGTTTATGATCAAGGGACAAGTAAACTTACCTGGATTACGCCTAGGTCTGTACCAAAAAAAATTAATCTAGCTATGAAGAAATTCCTTGAACAAGGTAGAGGCTTTTTTTTCCTGATAGGAACAGGAATATAAAAGAATATAAAAGAATAAAAGAACCTATAAAAGAAACAAAGAAACTCCAGTTCTGGACACTATGTGTTGCATTCCTCATTATTCAGAGTACTTATGGAGCTAATTGATCGCAGAATTTACCTTTGAAACATGACTGATAATTGCTAAATTTTCCAACTCATGCAACCTGTATGATAAAGTCTATCTTAGCGATGAGATGTTGACGGGTCAACATGGCCATTTATGATCATGTAGTCATAAGGCCTAACCTCTAGTTGGGCTCTTTGACCATTATTGTCTGTAAGTGGTCATAAATTACCATGATGACCTGTCAACTTCCCATGTCTTGTCTATCATTTGTGAGTCATGACACAAATGGAGCACAAACTGCGCAGGAAAAAAAAATAAAAACAAGATAAAAGTTGGCCTTATTGACCATAATTGAGAATTGATCGGCCAATTTACTGGTCAATTGGCCGATCAATTGACGTGTTTTTAATTGACCGGTCAATAACCCATCCCTACCCTCATTATTACCAGGACAAACAGTTCTTCAGGCTGTCGTGACAGATATGAATCTAGATCAGGGGTAAGTAGTACAATAAACTGACGGTTCTAGATATCCATGGTACCTCTAGGACAAGTCGCCAGCAAAAAAATGAAAGACCCCAATTTCCCCGTCCCTTTGGGAACCAATAAGGGAGAGATGGTGTGATGTAGTACCCAAATAAGGTCCCCTGCCACATGGTCCTTTCTGGATCTGGACAAACAGTATTTGTTAGGGTAAAATCAAACAAATAGGCTCTTGTGGAGATAAGATATGATGTTTTACGATACATGAGTAATATTCCGTACGGGCAGTTTCCTAGCTCGATTGTAAGAGCTGCGCATTATACGCTGTTTGCTAATGCATTAGATGGCGTTACATGTCCCATTCATTCTTTGGTGAGCTGGGGATCCCCTCTCTTGGGAGGGAATTCGATGCGGAGCAAATAATTGTCTCGACTATGTCTTGTAGGCATGGGTTCCATGCACGACAACGCACATATGCGATGGGAAAAGTCCCGTTAGCGAAGAACATAAATTTTCGACTTCCTGCCGGTGGTGCAACAGAGTGGCGGATGGGCAAGGGTGATGAAAACCACCCCTATCCGTGTCAAACTGCACTTCCCAAGCACGAACACAAGTGTCTCTAATAACTGGGGGAAATTTGTCATAGAACTAGTGTTAAAAAAAGCCTACTTTTTCTCCTTCTCCACACCCAACACGACGTTATTCGATATTAAGATCCCAGAGCACGAAGCCCATTACAGTTCATCCAGCAAGAAGCTCTTCCGACGAGTAGTCATATATTTCCTTTGACCTGCGACCGAAATAATGACCCTCATCTGTTACCCGGCTTGACACTATATATGGTGAGCAGGTAACTGAGACTCTCCTGTTTCTGGCCAAGAGAAGGTAGTCAATATGGGAAAAGATGAGAAGCTAATTGAAACGACTCCTTGAGAAATCCTACCGAACTCGTTCTTTTTTTGGCCCTGGCAGAACTAGAGCGATATCGACAATTCCCCGATGATGGAGAGAGGAGGTGTTCTCCAAGATCCAAAAGAGAGAAAGGAAGAGTGGGTAGGGAATTTACCAGGAGTGCCTTTCCTCCGTTGACTTTCCGTCCAGTCTCGAACGCGTGATCCGCCTGGATATTTAGCCTTGCACCGTCGCAACGGTCTTTTTTCAGCATTGTAGGGAATCCCTGAGATGGTAGGGAATAAGGAGGGGAGTCTCCTTTGACATACCATCCCGGGCAGCATAGAACGTTGGGCCTACATTGTCTGCGAGTGGGTAAGCGTGGGCCAACATCGCAGTGGGCTGTCTATGTAGGCCTCACATCGACGCTAGTGCGGCACCAAACATGTGTCCTATCTGTGAACGAGCCATCTACCTCAGTTATTCGAGCAACAAGGTTCCCACAAATGAAGCAAGATGATCTCGAAATAGTCGATATTCCAGTGGTATCAGGAAGTTACTCGACTTCCCCCTGTACTTTTTCATACTCTACCTGATCTTCTCCCACTGATAACGGGAAGACATTTGAATTTCTCTAACATTTTACTAAACAGTTTAAACAGACCAGCGAGACTCCTGAGAAATGTGGAAGAAGGATGGTTCAACTAGGGGTCTTATTTCATGGATTGAGGATTTCATACCCAATATTTTCATTTTGGAGGCTGTATCTGACTCCTCTTCAGAGAATGTGGATCCGGGTGTCATGAAAGAGATCAACCAAAGGATAATGATACAAATTACGACCCCCTTAAGCTGAAAATCCCCCCCCCCCACAAACGTTTTTCATCCCACCTCCTCTATCTGACATGGACTTCCAGAGAGGGAAAAGAATCAGATGTGCGATGAATGAAATCACAACGGGGTTCTAACCTCCCGTGGTCAGTGAATCTCTAAGAAGGATACAATAGCAGGAGATAGTACTCGCTGGAGTACTCCCAGCAGACAGAGAGACTCGGGAATGAGGTCCCCAGTTAGGGGAGCAGAACAGTCGTAAATCATGTCGCACGGCATTGTTAGCACAATGTGGGCTCCCAACGAGGGGGTTGATGCTGGCTCAACGTGGGGCCGATGGACATGCCTACAAGGGCCCAAAGTTGGGAATCAACGAATCATTCATCTACAAAAAGGGTGATCCAAAAGTCACTTTACACTTTGTAGTACAGAAAAGAACATATTTATTTACAAGATTTTTGCCATGTACATACAGGCCAGTTTAACTACTTGAACATAGATACACGTAGTCTTCCCTTATTTATCTGAAAGAAATTTAAACAGAAATAAATTGTAAGATATAAGTACATAGAAATGGAAATAGAACAATAGCAAAAGTGTTAAGTGGCTTTTGGATCACCCTGTATATCTCAGTCACTTGTGATTCTCGCATCATCGACTTGCATCGTTTTCATAGTCCTGGAATATTTTCGCCCAGTCTTTTTCATTTCTTAATTGTTGCATACCACGAGAGTCTGTCTCTAAGAATAAGTCTAAGTTTTGTTGCCCTTTGGCATACATGGTACTCTTCTGAGAGCAGCACGAGAGCTGAGTGCACATACCCAACACAGGAGTCCTCAGATATAAACTGATGAGGTATATCAGACCCAAGAAACGCATTTTTCCTCATTAGGCAATTACTAACACTAAGCACTTCCGTCCTCTGAGCCCAAAGGCTGAATCCAATTAGTACCCTCATTACGTCCGCGAAGATTCTCAAGGGAATTTTAAATGCTTTTGTGCTCTTTTTACAAGGGAGAAACAATTGTAACATCTCATGGCAACCCTTTTGGATAATTAAAAATGTACTTAAACATTCCCAACATGAATCAGGTACCTCCCATGAATGTACCGGGGGATTTTCCAGTAACTGGGGATCAGAAGACTAGGTCTCACCTCAGGGATAAGTTTAACTGGCTCCAAACCAACAGATCTGCAGCGGACCAAAGAGCTAGAGGACATATTACGGGAATATGGTGTACGAAAGCGAAGGAAAATTGGAAAATTATCCCCAAGGTATTCTTATCATGGGACAACTTTTTGAAAGGACATAGTGAACATTAAAAAAAGTGAAATGCAAAGATAACATATGTGTGCTGATTTTTTGGGGGCTGAAGGTGTTGAGCAGTGTGAATGCTCTAGTCCTAGTCAAAGAATGGACATTCCTCCAAGTGTTGCAAATGCAATGGGAGGCAAGATCAGTACATTTGGTACCTACAAGCTGGGAGTGCATACCAAAGGAGCTGACTCTGATACATTGCGCGTTGCTTCACGCCATTTGAACTGGCCCGACTTTTTGGTTCATATTTTGAGATGTTAAAAAAGTCCAAGGTTACTAATCTCAGTCAGTTGATAGATCATATTCATCCTTACGTGAAATTATTAGGATTGCGTTGTTTTTCTTGACCTTTGTCTCATCAAGTTATTTGTTCCTAGAGTTGAACAATTTTATCTATACATCTAAATCAAATTCATCGTTGTATTGTGGCAGAAAGCGTTGATACTTTTTTCTCCCCAGGTTATTGAAGATGTTTATGTACCTATGTGATGAAATGGGAGATCAAATTTGACAAAACATTTGCAAGAGCTTTAAAGAAGTTACATGATGTTCAGATACAGTACTGAACTTTCAGCACTGCAGTTCATTGATGTAATTTTCTGCTTTTTCTCTCAATCTCTGACTGCCTTATCAGCTATGATTTGACTTGAGAGACCTTATGAAAGACTTAGAACTCAAGTGTGCGAGAAGCATGAATGGATGCCGCGGGACTGATGAAATTCTCCGACTGAATCCAAACCCTGAAAGCTTTAGATTGACTTTGATAACCCTTAGACTGGGCCGAAAGTAGGGTAAAATCGGGATTACGATATTAAAGATCTCCTGCAAATATGTCCCAGAACTCGTTGGAATAATTTTTTTATTGTCCGCATGTCATGGGATTTACAGCAAGGTGCTTGGTTACCTTGGTGGAGTATCTTGGACAATGCTGGTAGCACATGTCTGTCAACAGAACCTGAATGCAGCAGCTGCCACATTCGTGAGCAAATTCTTTTGGTTTTTTTTTTTTAAGCGGACGTTGCCACAGTCAGTCCTTTTGAAAGCCCGAAACTGCAACGTTGACTTCCTTGTGTGGAGCCCACGAATGTGTAGGACATTTAAATCTTTTTCTTTTCCTGGCTCCTACAACGAATCCATGAAATCAAGAACGAAGATAATATTGATCTCAGGCGAATGCATCAGATCGGTATCACTAGATGCCGATCATTACCCCAACGTATCCACAAGACAATTCCACTAATGATGTTTCCCAGTCCACGCGTGCCATCGCGCAAGAATAGTTGAAGCAGGGCTTCGATATCACAAACAAGATCATTCTTGGCAAATCGAGCTGGCACAAGCTCTTCGTGTCTACAAACTTCTTCGGCAGGTACAAGTAAGTCATATAATACACCTGATTTTGGAGCGTTGGATGTTAAATTTCCAAACGGTACCTTAAAAGTCATAGCAGCCCGAGAACGAGGTCAGGGAGAATGTTTCAAATCTTCTTGCTTTCATCCAGTCATCCGCAGTCATTTCATTGCGCTCATAACATCAGCAGCCACTGAAGAGGACAGTTGGAATGGGATGGTCTTGTCAAATTCAAAATTCGGGATCTCGTCATGATTCTGAAAAGAAACGTTAACAGTAATGTAGGAGGGTCAGGATTCGACAATGCTTCTATGCTGATGTAATCGAGGGAGTGGGCAGCGAACCTCTTAAAAATCCTTTCATACATCCTTCTCTTACTCTGAGAATATACAGGGTTGCCCAAAAAAGGACACTCTTTTTATCGTGCATTTTAGGCGTGATGCTGTCAAGAATATTTTGTCTGGTTACATGTAATGGAAAGAAGAAAGACTCAGCTACAAAATGCTTTTTTTTCACATTTGAAATATCATAAAATATAATAACAATTATTGAATTTCGGTTACGAAAAATCGGCGTTCCGCTCACCGACCGCATACGGCGGCGGGCACATCCAATCATCCTCGCGACGTCTGCTGAGGTCAGCGTTTCCCCTCCCCATCTCGTGAATGCCAGGACGTCGAGTGGATGTCGGGTCAAGTTGGTGAGATTTTTCGTCGCCGAAATTCAATCCTTTTTTCTGTTACCCTTTAACAAATTTCAAGTCTGAAAAAGTATTTTGTAGCTAAGAATGTCTTCTTTCCATTACATGTAACCGGAAAGAATATCCTTGAAAGGATCGTACCTAAAATGCGCATTGAAAAGAGTGCCCTTTTTTTGGCCACCTTGTATATTAATATTATATATTATATATATTAATATTATATATACCTTGTATATTATATATGGGCCTACTAGGTCCCACTTAAGCATGACTAATGACCTGCGTTGGTTCACCTGAAATTTTGAGCCTTGCCTTGATTTTTTGCATAACCAGAGACAGGTAGAGGAATCGCGCTAAAGTTAAATTTAAAAAAGAAAAGTTAAGATTTTTTCAAGTGATGGTCTTGCCAAGTGACGGTTCCAAATGCACCTTTCATGAATGAATTCAGAGGTTCTGGTTTTCCCTTATTTTTATTGAATGTCCACGGTGGTCCGCGATTGTGCAGGGGTGCCGCCGATTTCTCACTGTCAAAGGAGTGTGCGCTGAAAAGGTTGGGAACTGCTGTTCGACACGATTCGTCTTCACAGAGGAAAACTGAAATGCATGAGGTTCACAGCAATTGAATTTGTCCTGACTGACAATCTCGACATATATCTCACTTTCAGCACTCGAATCTTCAAGGATGCAGGCGAGTTCTCGCTTGCTTCAGGCAAAAATGTCAAACCGGATTATAACAAACTGCATTGAACCCTCGCTGTAACGCCACTTTTGGTCGCGCCGCCAATTTTGGCATCATGACGCAGGTGGCACTCTATGGAACGAACCGCAATATGTTATTGGCTGCGATAACGAAATCTCCGGACAAATCGACTAAGTACTGCCACCCTTAGTTCCCTCTGATACTCCATACTTTTCCCATGAATATTCCAGGGGTATGAGTCACCTCTTACGGTCTCGCTATCTCTTACGCAATCGAATGGACTGTCGTGACAAATATTTAGTTCTGTACAAATTGTATATATTGTTGCAACAGGTATGTTCTTGGGGTAATATCGAGGAAGAGTTACGTGGATGAAAGTACTTATATATTTATATTCATTATGGAGTAGGCGGATGGCTGCTTGCGAGGATGGCCCTATAACAGGGAATAGCCTATTATATGTCAAGAGGGAAGATTTGTTCTCAGGAAAAAGCTAGCGATGAGAGAGGGTGGTGGCATATCGAGGGTTCACTATAATTGTATGAATTTTGCATTCAGTTAATGCCGCTAAAACTAGATGAACTTTGGCTGTGTGACATCGTGCTTTATGCATTTATACTTAGCTCGTACCTCATTCATTCGTATAGTATGACGAAGAAAAGCATGTTTATACGACAGTATTTCTACCTGTCGTCTCCACCAGCGCTCGGAAGAAAGGCATGAACATAGACGCGACCCACGTGATGAGGCGAGGAGTGCTTCCAACCTTTGATATCCAAGCGAATCCTATGTGCCAGGGATCTCCGATTACTTCGCCAGGCGAAGAACGGTGAAGAAAATTCCTGGCCAGACTCATCTTTTCTCCCATCCCTTTCTCCTCTTAATATTCCTTAGTGACGATCGCTCATATTCAACGCGAGTGGGAAAGCAGTGATAGGCTGCAGCCTGTAATTTGCAAGCCATCAGTACTTTTCATCCCCGAGGGTAAGACCGGCAGTTAACCTCCATGATTTATAACTTGCTTCACTTCTCTCACCCGCCTTGACTCTCGGTGGTGGAAATACAGTTAGGAAAAGTTGCAAGACTCGATGTCGGACTTAAGATATATAATGTGCTCCAGACAAAACAATGCGATGTTTGAATTGCAAATTGGACTCACAGCTCATTAGTTTAAACCCAAAGGAGACTTGAAAAGTAATCGTGGATAGGATATAAGAGTATTTATTATAACTACTTCGTGATGTTTTCTTATCTTAATTCAGACGATCGCACAATTTGGCTGTTGATTGAGCGTGCTGAGTGATTGGATCAGATTTTTTTTGAAAATTTGAATGGAAATAATTCAGAACAGACAATTCTTATCCTCTCTGATATTACATATTAATAGTATGCTATATTCATAATAGGATTAGCTCTAAAAGAAAGATAATAACACGTTGGAAGACCGTCGGAAATTCCTACCTTAATAGATTCTTTCTCTGATACAGATTTTTTCGGTATTCTCATTGCGATATTTTTTTTTTACAGACGCTGTATTTCAGGGAATAACTAAACCCATACTTGTCATCCAATCTTCCCTTAAAAAAAGGGAATAAACAGAAATAGAAAAGAATTCATTTCCTTTTATTCCAGTCGTCCATGAAAGAGAGAGCACTCAGAAAGTAAATTCCATTCCTCTATGCGATGGATATTGAATGTGATATGAGAATTCTTCATATATGAGAGAAAACTGGCAACAACAACCAATAAGGGGAAAAAAATTATGATGTAGGCACGTGACTCAAGCCGCAATAAAGGGGTTTAAGTCACTCTTACAGAGAAATTGTTCCCCTAAGCCCTGAAACACTGTCATTTCTTTTCTGAGAAGTTCTGACAAATGGTATTTTAATCGTATTATGAGTTTTTTCCGTAAAAGGACAGATGCGATGGGGAAGGGGGAATTTCTTCTGACTTCGTTCACCCGTTTAGCTATTAAGAGAGCTTAAAAGTGGTAAATCAACTCATCAATGTCCCTTTGCAAGAAATGTCTGGAAAAAGTTAACCAAGTTTTGTACTGGCTAAATTTGTTTGCAACTCGCTCTGAGTAAACTCAAACCACGAGGATTCCTCAAGGCCCTTTGCATACTTTGTCTCACGATGTTCTCTAAAGTTCAAGAACTCATTCGCCAGAATGCCAAGAACTTCATCCACTCACTCTCGGTTGATGTCAATGTCTCGTCCAATAATTTAATCGCGGCACCGATGGAAGCAGGGAAGGCGCTGCCATCTGAAAACTTCACGATTTGGTTCTCATTTTCATTTCTTATCTCAATTCGTCAGTCTGAAGAATGCAGAAAAAGGGGAGATAAAACCACTCAGGATGACACCTGTATTTCATACGAACAGCCTTGATGACCTTACCAAACCTCACAAACCACCTCACAGTAACAACAACAAAAAAATTCAGTCACAAACTTTCCGAGCCAAAACGATGTCCTTTTCGATTTTAGAATAAAAAGTCATGTCAACGAACAGTATTAAATGCAGAACGGGACGCATAATATTTTTCTTCATATTTTTTTGCATGCCAACTCTGGATATGCCACAATGCATCTCTTTGTTCCCATACAGTTCCTTGTGAAAATCCCAATCGTGACCTTCTTTTAGTATGGGAGTCGCCATATATGCCGTTGATGTCATGCAGGAATCATCTTGGCTCAGCATGCATCAAGTTGCCGGCATCATGAACCTTCCAGAGACCTCCTCTCCGCATGCTTTCTCAGTTAAACGTTCGAGAACGGCATAATCGCGAAATGGGAGGAAGAAATGGAAGCAGCTGCTAGTGATTCCGCCTTCTTCCCCATTTCCCCGGGTGTTCTGTAACTTCTCTCTGCATCGCTTCATTCCATTACCTTGGAGCTTTGCTCCATTTTCCTTCGCATCATTAGGAGTTTCCTGTTTCACATTTCATTAATAAACTCCTGGATGCTCGTTTCTAGCAATTAGTATGTCTCCCTCTCCTTTAAATTGGAGCGTTTCGCAATTTCTCTGAGTTAATATTCTTCCTACGCCCTTGAAACTCATTGATTTTCCGACATCCTGCTATGAGCTTGTTTTTAACAAGTTACATCAACATCGCTCAACTCTTTCCTGCTATTTTTTTATTATTACCAACGATGAGTGTCTATTTCCTTGACGGAAAATTCCAAGATGAATCATCCCAATCGAGAAAAAAAAACACGAAATTTTTATGCACAATAGCCAGAAGAAATCACATCAAAATATCCCAAAAAGTTTAAAGATGTTTAACAAGTTTAAAGCATTGTATTCCATGGCACTCCAAAATTTCACTATGTACACTTTTTATTATTTTATTGATATTCCTTTTATCCAGCTGGATTCAACGTAGTCTCACCTGACCAGGTCACGAGATAGTTATTTTATATTCATTAGTTATGTTATATTTATATATATATTATATAGCGACATTTGCTTGAGGAAGGTTGGAATACACTATTTAATTTTTGATCAGGTCACCAAAGGTCACTGCGAAGACGTGAGCTCCCTGAAAGTTCGCAAAGGTCATAATCTAGCCCCTAAATGGTCACGATCGAACTCCTAAATGTCACGTGACCGGGTGAAATGCGAGATTGATGAACTCAGCTCGATGGGACAGTTAAATGCAGCCGCGCTTGTAAGGATAAGGCCAAAGGAGTCTCGCAAGAAGGCACGAGTCAAAGGTCATGCGATCAATTCAAGTGGGTTTCCTCGAATTAAGCTCATGAGGCTGAATGCAACGATGCATAGAGGGAATAGGATAACTGCGAGTGCCCCTTTCACATAATCTTTCTAGTGGCAGGCTTCAAGTTTCGA